ATGAATATTTTTTCAGTATAGACAGAAATTCTCAATAAATATCTCTATATTTTTATATTTTTAATTTTAAATTCTTAATTTTTTTTTATCGTCCACCCACTGTCTTTTGCTACCATTGTTGTTATTGTCAGCCTTCTATAACCAGTATCACTCTCAGTTCACCCCATTCAATCTTAGATTTCCACAATTAACATTGGCAATAGGTGATTCTCAATGAGTAACTTGTGAGTTTGTATGATTTATGATAAAAGGTGACTACTCGCAGGGTCGGCCTGACTTATTAGGGGTCTAAGATAAATTTTTTAGATTGGGTCCTTTATATATCATTATTAAAATTAAAAAAAAAAGTGTTTGGGTAAAACAAAAAAGATAAAAATTTATTTTTATTGCATTACAATTTAACAAAATTTAGATAACAAATATATATATATATAATTGTTGAACTTCAATTAGTTGAATCGAATCTTTATTTTTTAGCTTACTAATGCTATAAGAACAAAAATTAATTAGAGGTAAGGATGAGAATTTTCGATACAACTCAAACAATATATGCCACCGTTTGGGAAGTGGGTTGGTTTTTTGGTTTTTTAGTTTTTTGGCTTTTTTGACTATTTTAGCCTGGGCTAAAAAGCTTTGTTTGAGAGGACTTTTTGGTTTTTTGACTTTTTTGACTTTTTTTGTGAGAGAATAGTGTAATGATTATGGGTTGGATGTGATGTTTTGTTTGTTGTAGGTAAAATAACATATTTTGTCTTTAGTGGCTAAAATAGCCCTAAACCTCATTGCCAAACGGAGCAAGTTAAGGTTGACTATTTTCAACCTGAATTATTAGTTATATATTTGAATGTTCACTAGGGGATGCCATGACATTTTTTTAATATTTTATTTAACTCAATTTAACTAAATAAAAAAGTATATAAAATAATAATTAAGGCTAATATCTTTTTTTCATTTAAGATATATATCTTTTTGTTACCTATTTTAGAGTCAATCTAATAAAAAATATATAGTAATAAGGTACAATTTTTTTAAGGGAAATTTTTTTTAAAGTCCTTGGTATTAAGATTTTACAGCATAAAGGGCACTTAATATTTTCATAATGTCTAAGGTTCCTCAAATTAATCTAGAGAAAATTGATCTAGAGAAATTCTGGATATTTCTCTGGACTTCAAAATTTCTCTCCAGAGAAATAATTTCCCTGGACTTCGAAATTTCTCTCTAGAGAAATTCTGGATTTATCTCCAGAGAAATTTTGAATTTCTCTGACTTCGGAATGTGTTTTAACCAAATTTCTCTGACTTCAGAATTTATCAAATGTGTTTTAACCAAATTTCTCTGACGATGCTATTTCTTATGATATCGAGAAGAATCGATCTCATGGCAGCTATCTACAGCCCATTCAGAGATGACTAACAAGGACAACCTAGTGAAACAACATACTAAAGTTGCTGAAGAAGCTATCTCAGGTTTGATGTTGATCTCTAATTGAGATATATAGAAGGAAAAGAAACGTGTACACTTCTGCCATTCTTTTTTTTTTTTGTAATAATATTTAAAATTTAGCTCTGGTAATTTAGCTCACAGAACGTCTATTGGCAATGGAAGAAGAAATGAAGATGTTGAAAGAAGCTTTGCAAAGTGCAACAGTGAATTGTAAGCTTCTAGGAGTATTTGGCAATGGAATTGAATTTTCTTTGGGTTGAGAATTTCTCTGGTAATTTAGCTCACAGAACGTCTATTTCGATTATTTTTTTTCATTTGAATTGAATTTTCTCTGGCTTGGGAATTTCTTTGGAGAAAATTCAGTTCAAATGAAAAAAATAATCGAAATAGATGTTCAAAATAAAGAGAGAGAAAGCTCCCCCCCGGTAACAATGGTGTTCTGTTATCTCATTCTCCTCATCCATGAGTGAGATTGAGCATGTGAGTTTGTTCTTTCGTAGGTTCATCTTTTCTCTTTTGAAGTTTTGGACCCGATTAAGAGGCAGAGAGATAGAGTTCTACTTGGTTTTGTTTGCTTTGAGTGTTGTTGGTGTTGTAATGGTGTTACCATTTTTTAGGGTGCTCTGGGCTGTATATGGAGGTATCTTCCAAGCAGCTGCCATATCACTCCAGTTGTGAGGTGTTGCTGGTATTTGTGTGGAAGATATTGCGGGTCTGGACAATGGCCGAGATTAGTCCATCTCTGTTCCAGAGCCGAAGTTATACACGTCTGAGGTGGGTTTGTTGCTCTTCTTGCACTGTGATGTGAAGAGTGGAAATCGCAGTTCATGACGGCCTTTGCAGTTCATGAGGGTTTTCTCCAGCAACATTCTAGGTCGCTGGAGGTGCCTCTGTTTGCGTCATTAAGGTAAGCTTTGGTCCTTTGTTTGCCTCGTGCTGTCTGTTATAAATAGCCCCGAATGTGGGTTTGTGGTTCATGAAGGTGGTGGCTGAGCTTGTGAGCTTTGCCGATGGTTGCTCCACGTTGCCAGCATGCTACTATGACGACAAAACTGGGGGACTGGTGTGGCGAAGAGAGAGGAGAGAGATGGATCTTGGAGTGTCTGGTTTTGATCGACTTTGCCCATCTCTTCTCTTTAGGGTTTCGGAGAGAGAGAGAGAGGAAATGTTGCTTTGTAGTAGAGGAGGAGAGGCAAAGAGTCAAATTTCTCTGATATATGTTTAGGGACCTTAGACATCAAAAAATAATGTTGTAGATCTCTTCCATTATGAAAAGTGGGAGAAGGACCGTAGACTAATTTTCCCTTTTTTTAATTAGAAAAATGCAATTGAATTAAAATCAAACATTCTATGAATAATTTCATTTAGTTGAAATAAATTTTATAAAATTCAACTTATGAGAAAAATTTTAATCTCTCAATACATTTGCTAAGTTATTTTTAACTAAAAGTGAAAGTTTTCACATTAAACATCAATCAAACACGAATCAAAATAACATTACACAACAATATAAAAATAAATAAATTGAGCTAATATTAAAATAATTATGAAATAACATGACATGATACACTCCCCTAATTGGGGGCCCTAAATTTTGTTCAAAATTGGGGGCTCGAGGCGACCGCCTCAGTTGCCTCACCCCAAGGCCGGCCCTGACCAATCGCATGCGAAAGGAAAAAATGGTGATGACAAGAGTTGACGAAAAAATAAGGTGATGCTGGCTATAAAAAATGGTTGTGGTGTTTTAAAATTATAGTTGTAAAAAACAGTAAAGAAATTATGGTATTTTTACTCATTAATTTTTTTTTCTCATAAAGCTATGTTTGTTTCGATATAAAATATTTTTTTTATAAATTAATTTTATACAAAAAAGTATTTTTTTTTTTTACTTTTCTGAGTTTGATTTATACTTAAAAATATTTTAAATATTTATTTAAAAGTGTTAAATATATTGAAAAATAACGAGTTTGAAAAATTGACGTATAATTTTTTTTAAAAACAAGTAATTTTTTAAAAATAAAAAATAAAAAATATTTTAGATTAAACAAACAGAGGCTAAATGCATAGACTGACAAAAGTTGGGGAAATTCTATTTTCACACACTCTTTTATCTCTATGTACATAATTTCTCAATGCACACCCTTATGAAATTGGTTTTATGTTTTGTTCTCAGTCTACACCTCACATGTTTCAATTATACCCTAAACTAACATCCTTGTACACACACCACTTAAATCATTTGTTTCACAAAGAATCAATGGTGTAGACCCATGTTTTATTCTACCCACCTTGAAAACACAACAACATCTTTCACAGAAAATCCCTTAGCAAATCGCTCAATGAATCTTTAGATTATACAACAAACTACCTCTTTTAATTTCCAGTTATATCATCAAACTGATTCCTTCAATCAACAATTTAGTCAATATCGAAAAAGTCATTAATTTGAATCGATTTGTATCAACATAGATCTTGAAACGGCATCATTTTGTATCAAACTCCATCGAAGACGTACAACTCCATCTATCTCTTATTTTCATAAACTCTCGTTTGTTTTTTAGAAATTTTGCTTAGTTGATACTGGTTATTTGAATTAAAAATATTATTCGATTTTAAACTTCCGAAACATGTAAAAAAATTCGAAACTTGATTTCCGAAATAAATTCTTAAATTCAAAAGTTGAGTTCGAATCTAAATTCAGAACTTGATTTTCGAATATAATTAATAATTTCGGCTATTAATATCCGAAAAAAATAACGTGCTTCGTCATTGGTTTACCGAATTAAAATTGTGAAATTTTTTTTTACACAGAAACTTTATTTTTTCATAACTACTTTTGTTGTAACCAGGCATATTATTATTTGAATTTGAATTTCCATTGATTTGTAATATTTTCATCACGAAAATCAAGAATTACGGTGGATTCCAATGACATGTGTTTGGCAAGGGCTTTTTCAGGCTTTTTTGGCTATTTTAGCCACAAAAAACAAAATAGGCTATTTTAGCCATAACAAACAAAACATCATATCAAACCTATAATCATTACATTCTTCTCTCACAAAAAAAGTCAAAAAAGTCAAAAAGCCAAAAAACCCTTCTCAAACCAAGTTTTTTAGCCCAGGCTAAAATAGCCAAAAAAACCAAAAAGCTAAAAAGCCACCCCACTTCCCAAACGGAGGCTTATGTAATCAATGGAGAATAAACTTAGCGTAAAGCAAATAATGAAAAAAGTAGGGTTTATTTATTTATTTTACTCAAAAGGTGTATATTAAGATTTTTTTATTCTTAAAAGATGTGTACAAAGAATTTTTCTACATAATATTATAAGGGCTGTTAGATGTCTATTATGATAATTTTTATTTAAAATATAATTATCATTAAATTAATATTTTACTAAATGTGTGTCTTAAACTAATTAGGTGTGTGAAAATAAATTTTATTCAAAAATTAATATTATGTTAAAATAGAATTAAAAATCTCAACAGGATCCCGATTTTACCCTTGGGGCCCCAACATCGTTGTTCGATATTTTTATTTCCTGTGAATCGGTTGGAAAAAAAAAATTCGGGGAGAGACGGAGAGAGAGAGAGAGAGAGAGAGGCGTAAAAGTTGGCGATCCGTTTGCTTAAAAAACACAGACGAAACCTTTTTCATGCTCTTTAAATTGCTCGTCCCCTCAATCTTCTCCCTCTCTCTTTTTCTTTCAAGCTGTCTCTCTCTGTCGTTAATAAAAGACAAAGAAAAGTCTCAATTTCAAACATCGTTTAACACGTTCACGCCATACTCTCCGGAATTGCTCTTTACCTTCGATTCCCAAATCACCGGAAAAATATATATATATATATATATATATCTGAGAAAGAGACAGAATCAGATTCAGGGAAGCAAAGATTTGAAAGATCAAGATGGACGGTCTTCGTTTCATGACTGGGTTACACGGCGTAACTTCCCAGATCGCCGTCGCCGGCGGAGGCCTCGACATCCGTACCGCCGCTTTGGGGAGATCGACGGCGGCTGCAAATGCGATTTCGGTTGACAAACCGACAATTTCGGGGGCGGCGCCGCCTCGGAGGACGGGGCGGTGGGGGTTTTCTTTCAAGCCCCCTCTCAGATCTCTGTGGCCCGGAGGTGTGAAAAGGAACGACGCCATTGCCCTCGACGACGCCGTTTTGGTGGAGGAGAAAGAGCAAGGTGCTGTTGTTGTTGGTGATGAAGAGGTTGAGGCAATGGAAGGGCAAAATCAGAACTGGGTGTTGAAGATTCTTCATGTGAAGTCTGTGTGGAGAGATAAAGGGAATGAGGAGGAATCTAGGGGAAAAAAGGAGCAAGAAATTGGGGGTGTTGATGATGATGATGATCAAAGAAGCGAATGCTCTGGTGGTGCTGAAAATGATGAAGGGTGTGATGTTTGTAGAGTTGATGATGATAATGACGATAAAATTGAATTCGATAGGGATTCGTTTTCGAAGCTGCTTCGAAGGGTGTCGTTGTCTGATGCGAGGCTATATGCTCGAATGTCGTATTTGGGGAACTTGGCTTATTCCATACCTCGGATCAAGGTAATTCTTTTCTCTTCAAATTTAACATTTTTATTATGCCTACAATACAATCTGTTTGCTGTATTATTTAATTTAATTTAAGAAAATGGTGAATCTGAATAAAAGCCCATACGGATATGTATGTTGATTTTTGTGAGAATGGACCAACTGGGGAGTTTTATTGGGAAGATTGAGGTTTAAACAAAACTTAGATTTGTCTAGCGATTCTAGAATTTTTGTGCCTGCATTTTTATATTTCATGAGCGATATGGTCCTATTTCCAAAACTTCTTTACCTCTGATTTTCACAGCAACTGAATGGAGGAAAATTTTGTTCCTAAACCTAAGATTAAGGTCTGCCTATTTAGAAATTTGTTTCACTATGGAGGATTATGGAAAATTATATAATTGATTTGCCAAATTATGACAATGTATTTCTTTTTTTTAAAAGAAAGAGAAATAGAAAAATAAAAAATAAAAAAGTAAAGAATTTGTGAAAGAAAGAAAGAAAATTAAGGGACAATATGCCTCGTTCGCTAGTTTTTTCACACCTGTTAAAAATTCTTAATGGTAATGGTTCCAATCTGCTCGACTATTTCTATATACTGGTGTCTCTATATACTGGTGGATTTGCTGTCCTCTTTGTGCTTTCAAAAAAAAAAAAAATTCCAATTTCTTTTCCCTGCATTTATCTATTTTCCATGGTCTAATTGCATTGCTTGTCATCGGAGTTTCTTTAAATTGTTTATGGTTTTTTTTGTTGGTTACGTTAGACATGATGAGTTGAATTTTTAAGTGCGCATTTGATTCCTGTGAATGTAGATTAATTTTAATCTTTTTGGTGGCATAGCCAGGAAACCTCCTGAAATCTCATGGACTGCGCTTTGTGACTTCATCATTGGAGAAGAAAGAACTGGCTATGAAAGCTGAGAAAGAGAAGGGAACTGAAGGTCAAGAAGCAGAAGAAATTTCAAAGGAGCCAGAAAAAGGGGAGGAAGAGAAGAATAAGGGGAGTCGAATAAGTGCATCTGCCGCTTATCAAATTGCTGCATCAGCTGCTTCTTATCTTCATTCTCAGACAAAGAGCTTTCTTCCTTTTAAGTCCTCTAAATCTGAGGCATGTGAAACTTCAACTGAAGGAAGCAATGGAATTAATGACAATGTCTGTATGATGGACAATGAGATGGCCTCTTTCATGGCAACCACTGACTCTGTGACAGCTGTGGTTGCCGCGAAGGAGGAAGTGAAACAGGCCGTTGCAGATGATTTGAACTCAACACGTTCATCACCATGTGAATGGTTTATTTGTGATGATGATCTCAGTAGGACACGACTCTTCGTTATTCAGGTAGGGCAATGACTGACATTGTTAGTTCTGCTTATCCGTTATTTTTTGGCAAGGTGGTGTAACATGGGAGTAGCTTATACTATTATAAACCTGTACTGTACTTTGTGAAGGGTGTATACAGTAATGTATACCATTACCTTCTCATTTTTTTAGGCCAGATCAGATGCATAGATCTACTGATTTCTATTTACATAATGACATGTTATACTTGCAATGACTTGGCTCATTTGGTCACGTAAATTTTGTATCTTTTATGTGTTTCTAACATTTTTTTACTGGCACAGGGATCTGAGTCACTTGCATCGTGGCAAGCCAATCTGCTATTTGAGCCCATTCAATTTGAGGTATACTTCTATACACATCTTGAAATTTTCTTAAGCCATTTCCTAGGTTCTTTGGCCTATTTTGGGAAGGTGGTAAAAAGCAGTTTTTTTGCTTTTAACTAAGCTTTTTGGCTTTTTCATAAAGTGACTTGGGAAGTTGGTAAAAAACTGTTTTTTTCCTTTTTTAGATATTATTTTTTAAGTTGTCTTGTCATAGTGTACAACTGTAAAATTACCAAAATGCCCTATTGCAATATGTAACCCTAAACAACAATGAGGGTAGTATCGTAATTTCATGTAGTTGATTATAATCACAATCCCAAATCAAGTTTTGCCAAAAAACGCACGCATCCGGGGTTGGCATTCTCAGCCAGACGCTGCGTTTCTCTCTGTTGCCAAAATAGCACTTTGTCTTCAGATTTTGGTTGTGTTGTGGACAACAGAAGTGATTTAGAAACTTGGCCTTACACATTGAGTTGCTGCAATTCTTCATAAAGTTCCCTTAATAGAGGATAGAATGTGATGCATCTCTTTTGTTATAGGGTCTTGATGTTATTGTGCATCGAGGTATATATGAGGCTGCTAAGGGATTGTATGAACAAATGTTGCCTGAAGTGCGTGACCACCTTAAATCTCATGGTGATCATGCTACCTTCCGTTTCACGGGGCATTCTTTAGGTGGAAGCTTATCCACGCTTATAAATCTCATGTTGCTTATAAGAGGTGAAGTCCCGCCTTCTTTGTTACTTCCCGTAATAACTTTTGGTGCACCATCAATCATGTGTGGTGGGGATCGGCTGCTTCAGCAGCTTGGATTGCCACGGAGTCATATTCAGGCAGTCACAATGCATCGAGACATTGTGCCCCGTGCTTTCTCTTGCAATTATCCTAATCACGTGGCAGAGCTTCTTAAGGCTGTCAATGGAAACTTCCGGAATCATCCTTGTCTTAATAACCAGGTAATATATTTAGTCTTTTTAGCTAGAACTATTAAATTTATCGCATGGATTTTCCTATTCTAATTTACTACTGCATGTCTTTTTGCAACAGAGGCTATTGTATGCTCCAATGGGTGAGTTTCTTATTCTTCAACCGGATGAGAAGTTTTCTCCGCACCATGATCTCCTTCCTTCAGGCAGTGGTCTTTATATATTGAGCTGTCCAGTATCAGATGCTAAGGAGGCACAGAAGCAACTCCGGGCTGCTCAGGCCATGTTCTTGAATTCACCTCACCCACTTGAGATCCTAAGTGACCGCTCTGCATATGGGTCTGAGGGAACCATTCAAAGAGACCATGACATGAATTCTTACTGGAAATCTGTTCGGAGTGTGATCCGCCAAGAGCTCAACCGCATCAGAAGGGCAAAGCGTGAACACCGCCGCAGAGTTTGGTGGCCGCTCGTAGCACTGCACGGCATTAAAGCCGGCATCATCATGGGGAGTCCGATGTCAAGCAATAACATGGGCGGTCGAGGTCAATTCAACTTTTCTGGGATGGTACAAACTGGGAGAGACTCTTTGAGAAGGTTCAGTAGGCTTGTTGCATCACAGCATATGCATTTGCTTGTAGTGCTCTTGTTTCCTGCAAGGTTGTTGCTCCTGGGGACATACAGTGATCAGTTTTAATTGAATTGAATGGGTCAAATTTGGGTGGACAACTCACATTTGATGTTTTTCGTGTTGATGTTGTGGGTGGAAATATTGTATTGGTGGAGAGAGAGGCGTGTGGGTGGCAGATAAGGGGTAGATGATTCTTTATTCATCGGTTAGAATGGGGTAAATCTCAAAATTGCATGTAGAAAAACATTTGAATGTCAATGAAATACAAGGTTTGCAAGCCAACAATTTTACAATTTTTATTTTAGAAGTGAGTTGAGTTTCAATTTTAAAATTTTATCAATGCACGACTCTGAAATTTATTTAAAATTTTAAAGTTGTATTATTACATGGTTTATGATTCAGTAACATTAATAAAATTTGTGTTACGGCATTTTTCATATGGTTATCTTTTGTTGGATATGTTTGGAATTATGTACGTTATGGTTGACTGTTTTTGGAATTTGCGCATGGTTTATAGTTGCAGAAAAATGATTGTGGTGTGATTTTTCTGTAGTGTGGAAATATTTATGACGTGAAAAGGGCTGAAAGCGATGATATTTCTTGCGTGCAATAAACAGACGGGGTTGAAAGTGAATGATACATTGCGTGCAATAAAACACACAAGGCGTGTTTGATGGATGAGGGGAATTATTTACTGTGTGGATTGTAATTCGAAGGAAATATTTAATTTGATATTTGTTTTTTTTAGTTTATCGGACATGGAGTCCGGTCGGATTCTTATCCCCATATAGGGAATTATACTATCTTAGGGGGTTGTGGGACAATTTTGAAAGGATTATTTATTATTAGGATCAAGCGGTGAAATGACCATTTTGACCCTCTATTATTTAATTATATATTATATTTAGTAAAATTTAAATGTCTCAATTTAAAAAAAAAAAAAATTTATTTAACTTTTTATTGATGTTTTATTTATTTATTTATTTTAAATAATTTTTTGGAAGACTTTTTTATAAGTTCTATTTCGGACACTTATTTATTATTAGGATCAAGCGGTGAAATGACCATTTTGACCATCTATTATTTAATTATATATTATATTTAGTAAAATTTAAATGTCTCAATTTTAAAAAAAAAAAAATTTATTTAACTTTTTATTGATGTTTTATTTATTTATTTATTTTAAATAATTTTTTGGAAGACTTTTTTATAAGTTCTATTTCGGACACTTATGTTATCTTAAGTTTTGTGTAATTTCTTATAGAGTTTCAAGTCCTATTTAAATAGAAATGTATTTCACAAGATCCTATGAATTGTAAATAGATGGTATTAATATACTATTATACACTATAATGACAAAATCATATGTAGGGAATTGAATGTTACCATACATCACATTCAATTTAAAAAATAAAAAACTTAGTAAGTTTACGTTACGTTTATATAGGTGTCACGTTACGTTATATTTATGTAAGTGTCACGTTACGTTTCGTTTGTGTAGGTGTCACGTCACGTCACGTCACGTTACGTTTATGTAGGTGTCACGTTACGTTTATGTAGGTGTCACATTACGTTTATGTAAGTGTCATGTTACGTTACATTTATGTAGATGTCATGTCACGTTACGTTTATATACGTGTCACGTTACGTTTCGCAAATGTGTATTTTGAAATTCAAATTCACATTCATATAGATATGATCTATGGTAACATTCAATTTCCTATATATGATTTTACCATTATTTATGATATTAATAACTAATATTAAAACAAACACAAGATACATATCCAATACAACCAAATAGTCCGGGGGATTTACAGTCCTATGATTCAAATCTGATGAGTTCTAATCTCCTTTATCGAGTCCGTTCAATCAAACACACCCACATTGAGCTGATCCAATACAATGCCATCATTGAGAAGTGACATTATCATATAATAATAGAACACGTATTTGGTTGTGAGATTTAGAAAGGAATTTGGAAAGAAAAATAAAAAAAGTAGGTGAAATGTGAATAAAATATACTTGCATTTTACATAGTTTATGTACGAGCACGAAATAATTCTTCTCGTATAATCCTGTTGATCAAGCTTGTGCTTCTCCTTACGTCGTCACTTTGCCACCTGAAAATACAAATGTGAGCTAACCGGCAGGTGTGTGCCGGAAACCCCTCCGATGCCTAAGTCAACACAATAGACAATAGACAATAGACACAAAAGGTCTGTGAATTCAGGAATCAAAGTTGTGTTACCTCTCCATAGGTGATGTTGTGAGATTTTATAGGTTCCGTGTGGCACAATCCTAGTAGGACTCTTATTCCTCCAAGTAGAGTCCTCTTAGGGATCACACTCCTGAAAGATAATGTTTATCCTTCAACACCCCCCTCACTGCTTAAACCAAGTGAGATGGTTATACCTCGGTCGCATGACAAAACGGCAGCTAAAACAGCCATGCTAGACTGGCCGAATTGACTGAGTTCTGCCTAGCTCGGCTCTTCCTTTTACAATTTGTACCTCGATTTCACTTCTTGAGACCGCGTTATCCACAACGTGCTTGGACCGAACTATTCAATAGCAAGGTTCTGAGTAAAAGCCCAAAATACCCCGGTCCTTAATGGTATGACCGAGGTAACTGCTACTACTCAGATCGTAGTGACCGAGCTAACTACAAAGCTCTTTCTGGACCGGGCTAACTACAAAGCTCTTTTACTCAGCCCTTTTTACTGTGGCCCACAGAACGGCCCATCACCCAGCTCAGCTCAATTTAAATATAAATTACCCTCTCAATTACCCCTTAATTCCATCTGCGCAGCATGATAGGGATTATCGTTTACCAGCCGAGCTAAAAACCTTAGCCTTTCAACTGAGCTAAATTCAGACCGGGATACAAATCTATCCGGTTAAAACGTCTCTTCAGTCTCTGTAACTGAATCGCTTGTCATTCCAAGGACACGTGGCAAGCTCTTATTGGCCCAATGCAGCTATCCAACTGTCTTCGTACTTCACAATATTTGAACAGTCCCGCCTAAAAAGTCTTACAAAGCAAAAACTCTACTTTTTGAATCATTCGCTAGCACTATTCACCTTCTCTCTCTCTCTTGTTTGAACCTCCATTTCTGCAACCACTGTTTTTTGCAAAGCTCGTGTTTTTCCTTGCGACTTCGATCTTCATTAACTCGCCTCCATACTTGTAAGTGACACAATCTCATTTCCTCTTTGTTGATTCCTCATCTGTTTCGTAATACACAGCATGCGTATTTGTATGTTTTTCAAAACATATTCCATTTTTGTTTTCATTTCTCCGCCAGCATCTCATCAACAACCTCATCATGTTTCTTCTCCGCTTCCAATTGAGTCATCTCCACCGCACTCCGAATCTCCTCCATCTGCTCCGAAACCCTAGCTTTCGAATCTCCAACGACATCCTCATTCAATTTCAACAAAATTAAAGATGAGAGTCAATAAATTTATGTAGAAACATCAACAAAAATCGCGAAATGTGAAGAGATTCGAATGATTTGTGAATTTAACATAACCAGATAGGTATTGAATCGATTGTACCTGGAGATTGTAGAGACGATTCAATAGCTATTCATTTGTGGTTTCTGAGCAGAGTTGTGAAATCGAAAATTTAGGGTTTCATGGAAGAAAGTCTCTGCAATGGTTGTGCGAAAATTGAGAGAGAGACAGAGAGAGAGGATGAAGAAGGTGGAAAGATTTAGTTGAGGGGTATAATAGTCTGATAAAATATTTAAATAATAAATTGTGTCCTTTATGTAAGATTTTATAATTATGAGGGGGTTTAGAAAGTATAATTTTTTTCTTAGTCCTTTTAACAATGAAAGGAAGGTAAAAGGGGTTTATAGCTAAATTTCCCATTGAAAAAAGGTAAAATAGTCTTTTGCTCATTAATTCTATCCAGTCCGTCCAACCAAACATTAGATTCATTAAAAATAGTTCTTTCCAGACATCTAATCCCATGAGAAAACAAACACAAGATACATATCCAATACAACCAAATAGTCCGGGGGATTTACAGTCCTATGATTCAAATCTGATGAGTTCTAATCTCCTTTATCGAGTCCGTTCAATCAAACACACCCACATTGAGCTGATCCAATACAATGCCATCATTGAGAAGTGACATTATCATATAATAATAGAACACGTATTTGGTTGTGAGATTTAGAAAGGAATTTGGAAAGAAAAATAAAAAAAGTAGGTGAAATGTGAATAAAATATACTTACATTTTACATAGTTTATGTACGAGCACGAAATAATTCTTCTCGTATAATCCTTTTGATCAAGCTTGTGCTTCTCCTTACGTCGTCACTTTGCCACCTGAAAATACAAATGTGAGCTAATCGGCAGGTGTGTGCCGGAAACCCCGCCGATGCCTAAGTCAACACAATAGACAATAGACAATAGACACAAAAGGTCTGTGAATTCAGGAATCAAAGTTGTGTTACCTCTCCATAGGTGATGTTGTGAGATTTTATAGGTTCCGTGTGGCACAATCCTAGTAGGACTCTTATTCCTCCAAGTAGAGTCCTCTTAGGGATCACACTCCTGAAAGATAATGTTTATCCTTCAACACCCCCCTCACTGCTTAAACCAAGTGAGATGGTTATACCTCGGTCGCATGACAAAACGGCAGCTAAAACAGCCATGCTAGACTGACCGAATTGACCGAGTTCTGCCTAGCTCGGCTCTTCCTTTTACAATTTGTACCTCAATTTCACTTCTTGAGACCGCGTTATCCACAACGTGCTTGGACCGAACTATTCAATAGCAAGGTTCTAAGTAAAAGCCCAAAATACCCCGGTCCTTAATGGTATGACCGAGGTAACTGCTACTACTCAGACCGCAGTGACCGAGCTAACTACAAAGCTCTTTTTGGACCGGGCTAACTACAAAGCTCTTTTACTCAGCCCTTTTTACTGTGGCCCACAGAACGGCCCATCACCCAGCTCGGCTCAATTTAAATATAAATTACCATCTCAATTGCCCCTTAATTCCATCTGCGCAGCATGATAGAGATTATCTTTTACCAGCCGAGCTAAAAACCTTAGCCTTTCAACCGAGCTAAATTCAGACCGGGATACAAATCTATCCGGTCAAAACGTCTCTTCAGTCTCTGTAACTGAATCGCTTGTCATTCCAAGGACACGTGGCAAGCTCTTATTGGCCCAATGCAGCTATCCAACCGTCTTCGTACTTCACAATATTTGAACAGTCCCGCCTAAAAAGTCTTACAAAGCAAAAACTCTACTTTTTGAATCATTCGCTAGCACTATTCACCTTCTCTCTCTCTCTTGTTTGAACCTCCATTTCTGCAAC